CAATTCTTCGTCCATCGCAAACACCACGCACTTCACAGAGGGACAACAAACCGCGACTGGCGTGACGCGACCGTGAATGTAGTACCTCTTTGGACGACATCCGTTTGGACGTCATCCATTCGGATGTCATCCATCTGGAGCGATCGTGAATGGCGGCCTTTAGACCCTGCACACGAGTGGTTTGGACCTCAGTGGTTTTTCTGCCGCAATGATGGAACACACTGTTTCAACTGGAAGTGAGCGCAAGTGCGGTTTTTCAAACGCAACATGCTTCATTTTTGATGCGGTGCAGTGGCCGCGCTGCGGCTGGCGGTGACAATAGAACACGAACAATCCTTCCTATGTGCGCAAGCGGCGACCATTATATGCCCGACCTTGGTGTAAATGAATAGGAGAAAAGGCCTAAACTGTACAGTGACAAAAACTAAAGAGAAACTGCGGATAGAAGTCTGTGAAGCTGTACCGCCGAACTCAAGCCAACTTGGGGGGAGAGGAGAGGTGGGAGAGAGAAAGTATAAGAATAATTTATTTGGATACAAAGGCAGGTCTTCATATAACTACTGAAAATGGGTTTTCAACAATCTTTGACATACAAGTCGATGTACCCAAAATTTATTTTTTACACTTTGCTTTCGCTCTTAGCAGTAAAGCACACACAGCGAGTCTCTGCAAAATCCAGCTCCCAACTGAAAAGAAAACTCAAACATTGGCGTTTATTTCACCGTCCGTGCGCACAGACAAGAATTTGCGGCTGCGGTTGTTCTATCACTGGGGCGAAAAAACCGCTCGAGCGCGCTAGCCCTTAAACATGGTATAAGATTCCTAAAAGGAATGCTTAAATCTATAACTAATTGCTAACGTATGTAAACTGTATATATTACTAATGCACCAAAGCACAGGTGAGGCACGATGAAAAAAGAATACAGCAGATTGTGGAAATAACTCCCAAGGAAAACATACTACCATACCTCACTCATGATGCACGGAAGAGATTTCTGAATACAGCTAAAGGCAAACTCCACTCCACATACCTCTGAAGTTGCCTGCAGGAGAGAGAGAGAGAGAGAGAAAGTGCTACCATATGTCCACGATGTACCAGTGTTAACACTTTACCACAACAACAAAAAACCCCACATGCTTTACAAACTAGAAGAGAATACCTCATACAAAACAGATATATGCACTTATGGTAGCGTGAACAATTTTTTTATTTAACATTACTGAAAATTTTTATGCTATTAAATTTATCACAAGGATTGTGCCAAGATCTCTATTTGCTAAATGGAAATTCTTATAACTGAAATTTATAATAAAGCAATTAAAATATGGATAAGAGAGAGCATTTCTTTTTCTTCGGTATCAGCCTCTGTAACAGACACTTTTTCAGCACAAGATGATGGACTATAAACTTCATAAACCTTGTAATGTGTGTTTATGGCTGAATAGTTGCGACTTTATTGTAAAAAGTTATTTTAATGAAGAACTATCATCATACAAAATACTGTACCACTGTCTGACTGTTTACCTCGCCATTATACTCAATTGTTACAGGTGAAAGCTTCACTGGCATCTGATGAATGAAATGTATACCAAGCCAAGCATACCAAGATCACATGCTTCAGAAATACAAAGCGAGATTAAAAAATACGACTTCAGACACAACGAACCATACCTTCTTTTTACAAAATAGTAATAATCAACTAAAAATAAATGTAATTTTGAAATGTTGGTGTTCAGACTCAGAAAAGATAAAATACAAAGTTCTGGCTCACCATCTTAAAATCAGTTTAAACTATCCAACACCAATATGAAATAAACAAAAGAATACTCAAAGGTGAAAGCAAGGATAAAGAATGGAAACATAATGTTTACCAAGAGTACAACCATTAATATAAGCATGCATGATACTTCAAACCTTATTAATGAGAAACATAATGACAGAGGTGGAAAAGTTATAAAAAAATGGTATTTTAAGAAGTCTAAGGATCTGAGGGATAATGTAATAGGCTTGCACATTCACTCATATATTCATTTTTTAGGTTATGGCACCATGTTGTGGCAGGCTGGTTTGCCAACATTTTGGAGACAATGTAGTTTCCATCTTCAGAGAGGCAGCAGAAATACTTGTACAAAAATTGTACGCTCACCAGACTATCACAATTGTTCTTATCCGCAAAAATATAAATATACAAGACTCAACAACCATACACTTTAAAGACTTTGATACAGTTACTATAGTTCATATATATAATCATAATTGTTAAGCAACAAACTCCATGGAACAGAATCCTTCTTCAGAAGTTAACAGGGTGTTCACCAAGTCAAGAGATTCCCCTCCTTTTATGGAATTTAAAGTTTAAATACTGTGTTCATAACAGCCTATCCCCACTCCCCATAACAAACCAGATAAATCCAATCAACATTCTCAACCATATTTCCCCAGGAATCTCATCCGTGCTTACGCTTAGTGAGTAGTCTCTTAACTTACGGCTTTCAAACCAAAATTAGTACATTTCTCATTGTCCCTGTATGTGCCACATATCTTTACAATATTTGTTTTCGTCCAATAAATTAAAGCTGGTTTCACGTCTAATTTAATACACACCGTTTGCAATGCAGCTTATTTTATTTTATTTATTTAGTGTTCTGTCTGACGACAGGTCCATATGAACAGGATCCTTCCATCCTTTTCTCGGACTGGGACCTGTTCATATACGTTCTTGGCAGATGATCCAGAAGTGGTTTGCCATTGCCTTCTTCTGTGTGTGAATGGGGTAATTGTTGGGATGCCACGGAGAAACCGGGGAAGCCCCCGGAGGAAAACTCCGTGTTGCCTAGACCACGGCCTTGCCCAACACAAGTTATAAATTCGGGCACCGCCGGGAATCGAACCCGAGACCCCAGGATTACAAGGCCAGCGTTCTAACCGCTAGACCACCGTGGCTTACATCACTTTAATTTACCAAGCACATCTGCAGCAAAATAATGACGTGACATTTACTCAATGAAGATATTAACTCCTAATGATGAAAATTAGTTCTGCTCCTATAAAAGCAATTTTTTATTTGGACATATTTTGACCTTGTTTAAAGATACGAAGGTTATATCAACCAACTACTTTTACCACTATTATTGGCTAATTAATTACTTTAACATGCCAAATGTGTTTTGGCTTCATGATGCCATCATCAGTGTATATACATAAAGTTACAAAACCTTGTCATTATGAAATAACTGAAATTAAATTTGAAAAAAATATATACATTTTAAGCACCCCTATATTTGCCACACTTATTTTGCAATCACCACACATCTTGGAAAATTATACAATACTTTCACTGTGCTACTCTTATGTCTCCATAAAAAGGCACATATTTTCTAACTTGCTGGTAGAAGTTGTGTATAAAGCCGATCAGCAGTAATATTTTTCCTGCTGCTAGTAGTGATCATGCATATTTTCTAACTTGCTGGTAGAAGTTTTGTTTCACAGGTAGAATGCAAGGTTTTACCTTGTAGCGCACTGCATAATGCAAGTTATCTGCACAACACTACAGTGGGTTCCAAACAATAGCTACATGCTGCGACATCCGCCTCTCAGGATATTCTACGATGCCGAGAGTAAGTATATTATAGACCGAATCGAGTGTGATTTAGATTCTTACCTCTTCTGTTCTCTGGAGCTTTTCCAACGACTGCTGGAGTTGGTCTTTCTCATCCCTAATCGTTTCCAACTCAGCCTCCATGATCTGCATCTGCTGGCGCCATCTTTCCTCTTCTTGTTCAACATGGTTCTGGAGTTTGTTCAACATTCCTTCCTGTATAAAGAGAAAGTAATAAAAAAATAAAAAAAGTTATTGAGCTGTTACTTTTCAACACTGAACATAATACATACATTACAAAGTATATTCTTGTGTGTCAGAACATGCATTAATGTTAAAAAAAATGGACCATGTTAATGCTTTTAAGATTTGGGAATAATGTTAACTTGTGAAAGAGAAAATTATATGAATATAAAAGTCATAAATTTTGTCAAAACACAAAGGGTTATAAATCAGATTATAAACTGTCATTAGCCTCTAAGGATAAAAGAATATAATATTTTATAACAACTACTAGTCAAACATTATCTTGCGATAGTGAATCAGTGTCCCCTAACCACAAAAAAGAAAAGTTGGCAAGGAAAGATTAATATCACCTGAAATGCATAACATGTAGGATATACCAATATCATCACAAGCGCTCATCATGTGGGATACAAAGTTTTGGACTGCAAAAGAAACCATGACAGAACTACAAATTCAAAAAATAACAGAATTCAGAGAATAAAGAAGAAACTTGAAAAAACGCATTCACAATACGAGTTCTGGCAGCAATAAAAAAAAGTTTACAAAGTATCTAAAATGATGCAATGACTGTTTAGTATTATATTTATCAAGTCTCAAAAGGTACAATACTGGAAATGATGATGATTATGATATTGATATTCTTGTATATATATAGGTCTACTCCAGTTTCATTAACCCTGGGGCAGATCTACTTTCCCCCCACCACAAAAACAAGAATGCATCTGATTGATGTCTTCTGGGTTATTGCACCATGTAGTCTCGTAGAGGTATACTGCCGTTTCAGAGGTCCTTGCTGCGATTCATCGCTCTGATGATGAAGGCAGAAAGGACCTCTGAAACATCAGTAAAATTCTACCAGACTACACGGCGCAACAACCCAGAAGACAGAAATCTTCATACTCACCGCTGTGAAACCTCAAAACTTACATGTGTGAAATCTGTTTGCATTCATTACCACAGAAAGGGATGGGATGGGATGGGAAGGGAATGGAAAAGAAAAGAAAAGAAGAGAAGAGAAGGGAAGAGAAAAAGTTGTTAGCAATATATCTCCAGCATACCGTCTCTTCAATAATAGTCTTGTAGTGTGTGACCATGGTCTGCAGCTGAGAGTTTTGCTTTTCTAGTTCTATTAGCATGGATGAATGATCCTCAGACACAGAATCCGCTGCTGGTTGTCGTGTTTTAAGTTGAGAGATGAAACTCGTGGCCGAACTTTCAAACCTCTCAACCCACAGATCATACGCCTAAGAATACAAATACTGATCAAATATATTTCCTCAAATTTCTCACATTTACTTACATATAAATTCAGATTTAGGAAAAGGTACTCACTAGGAAGTGAAGACTTTTTTTCCACAATTTGAACAAACATAATCAAATTAAATTCACAACAAAATATCAAATTAATCATAGCTGGTAAGAATTACATACATTTTGCAGTAATAATATTCCTACAATGTTCTGATTTAATTCATATCTGGAGACTCAAAAGAGTAAACAACTTCAAATTTGTCACCAAACCACAGAATACAGAAGGTATGGCTACTATAAAATAAGCAAATTCATGTGAAGATGCGTCAAAACATAATTAGAATTAGAATTAGAATTACAGAGTGTGCACACATTTGGCCCACATCAATTTGAAACATACAATGAATAAAAATATGTTCTTGGAGTAGTTTCGCTAAATGAGATAGATAATTTGAAATATTACACAATCTCTAAAGTGACATAGTATTTTTAACAAAATTATGTTAGATCTTAAAATTATATATCAATTATCAGTTAAACTGAACAAATGAAGTGACATTCAGTTGTTTAGCAAACAAATTTGCTGAAGCCTATTACATGAAAAGAATTCATAATGATTTATGTGAGATTATCACTGTCAATGAAACTAATATGCTAATGAATAACTAACACAGCTTTATGAGTTGTAAGCTATTCATCCATGAACAAGCTTGGAATATAAGACAACTACACAGCGCAATAACCCAGAAGACAGAAATCTTCATATTCACCGCTGTGAGAACCTCAAGTCTTACAACATGAAACATTTTTATCCTACCGTATGGTCTTCAATTCTAATATCACGGAATATCCTCTGCAATAGCTCTTTAGTGGCTGCCTGCTCTTCTGTTCTGACCTTTTTACTAACTTCCTGTTAACAAGAAAGAAAAAATTAAGACAAATCAAAACAGCACTGAAACTTTAACACAAAAACAGTATATCACAATCAGTAAGAGAAATACATTCTTTAACATCCTAAGAAGCTCCACACACTACTAGGACCTTTAAAAATATGACCTGTCAACTGCATAAACTACAAACTTTTAAGAGTCCTCACATGAAATATCACATACAACAAAAATTTATGTGAGAAATTAAAAAAAAAATCTTTATTTGTTGATTTTTGTGACACATCTGTAATTAATTTCTGTATCATTAAAAAGAAACTTCATATGCACAGTTTTGAAGAAAGCATTATATTCTTTAACTGATTAGCAGTATTCCCTACTGGCAGATCTCAGATTCTTAGTCCGAAACTTACGTTCTTGCTAAGCGTTATTAATCAGTCTTTATATCAGTATATACCACAAAGCTGCACTATCTTCAGTCAGACAGAGTTACTTTGCTCTTGTTAATAAACATACAGAGATGTATTATGAGCCGGGATAGCTCAGTCAGTTTAGTGACTAGCTACGGGCTGGGCTATCGGGGTTCGGTCCCCGAAGGGGCAGTGGATTTTTCCTCTAGCCTCTGGGTCCAGACCGGCTCTGGGGCCCACCCATCCTCCTGTCCAATGGATCCTTTCCCGGGGGTAAAGTATGGCCGGGGCGTGATGCTGACCACTCACCTCCATCTGGTGCCGAGGTCAAGAAAGAGTATGAGCTATACCTCCGCTTCCCCCCCAAATGCCAGCATAGGCATAGAGCGGGACGGTTTACTTACAGAGATGTATTAACATAAGACGAAACAGTATATTCTCCCATACTTCCAAGCATTTATAATATGACTTTGTAATGCCTTCCTGCAATATTTCTAGCATGCATGCCATACACAGGGTAGCACAACTCCATGCATTACACTAAAGCACATCACCAAACAGTCTACCATATGATCAAAGTTTTCTTCATATCATTTGACAGTGTCACTAGACATTTTTAATTTTCGGCACCACTATAAACCTGTACTTATATCAAGGTGAAATATACAGAAGGCACTCAACATTAAATAACTAGACAATGAGTGAATAAGGATCTAATGTATTTCATAAATAAAAGTATGAACAGAATTAGATGTATCAAACAAATTGAAGGCATAAAATACTAAACTAAGCTGACTACACCATTAACTGGGTGAGCCCTATAAACTACTCTTTTTGCAGTTATAAAGCATATACAAACTACACACTGATACAAAATGATGTTCACATGTGAATACACATGCATGCACACAGCCATGTACCGTGTTACCATGACTCCCACTGTCAAGATTTAATGATGAAAACTTTAATCATGAAATTAGCCCACTTCAGATAATAAAATTTGCATCCTATCATTTTCTGGATATAACTTATTTGATGAGTTTTGCGTGCAATCTACACACAATTTCACATGAGATGAACGCATTGACATGAATGAAAACATCCGTTCACATATTACTTAGTAACGGGAATTGTAAACACCTCTTTGCCACGATGAGTGCAGTTACTTAGTTCATCAGGTGTTACTGCAAGGCTAAATGGCAATTTACTTCCAGTCTTGGAAGTAACTGCAAGAAAACAGAACATGTTCTGTTTTTTTGAATACTGTATCCAAGATTTCAACACAAGATATACAAAATTGTACATAATGAACTCATGTCTACTCTTCTTATTAATACGATTAATTAAATAAGGAGAAGCAAATTCGATGTTCTAAAGTGGGCTTTACAGAAATATGTTAATAACTTACACTGACTAGTATAGTGGACTCTTTCACTTTAGATTCCAGGGACTTTTCGGTGACAGACAGGGCCTCCATAGCTTTCCAGTTCTTTGTACGCAAATCCTAAGACCATAAAAGGATAAACCATTAGGAGAATCCATAGATATTAACCACCAAAAAAATATTAACTTACAATATGGCATACATACTGCCGTAAAAATTGAACAATCACAGACATTTCAGCCCGTAGAATGTGGAATTACAAATGATAACCATAAATTTGTGGTACTTCTTCTTAACAAAACTGCAAACACTGATCTACACTTGATCTTACAATAACACATAAAACATGCTTCCTTCATTAACGTCAAGTTAATATTCATCAAAGTATGTTATGATGTAGTTATTACCCAAGCTAAACATCAATTTCTACCGTGAAGTACTGAGAAAGGGGGGGGGGAAAAAAACAAAAAAAAAACACACACACTAGTGTTTAAAGAATGTGCTAATTTTTCTGAGCATTTCAGTGAGACTAGTTTTTACATCAAACCTAATCAGTGTTCCAGAATGATTTACAATAATTAATTTTATGCTAGTTTACCAAATAACATATCTTTGAAAGCTGAAGCATCAGATGCATTTAAAATATAAGAACATTATTCACATTGCAATGCTATGGATTCTCCTAAACTCTAGAACTACCTTTGTTAGCTTTGTGCTGACATGCAATGATGCAAACGAGAATATTAAAGCATTGTGATTATTTATATGTTTCACATATGCGTGTGTGTGTATTTGTAATGTGATAACTGGTAAGCAACAACTTCTTCCTAAGTAATGATATCTTCTACATATTTATGCTGAAAAGATAATGGTACTAATGCTGACGCTTGAAAATAGTTTTACGTAACATGAAATACAAACATATGATAATTGTGCTATAGTGTAGTCTTGAAAGCCTGTGCAGAATGTTATAACAAAACACGCAAATTTCACCCAATATTTTATCGTGTAATTATTCTGAGTCATACAGAATAAGACTAAAGAGTTTTTGTAAGGTCTTATTGATTCTAGAACCTAGAGCTTTAAATGCTAATAGTAAATGAATATACAATTACCAGTGATCTACCCAAAATTATGAGACAGTGGTACAGACATCCTTTCATACAAGGAAAATCACTTCCTGTGGAAAAGCTCTCAGCAATACAATGCCATGAATTTTCTTTTTAAGATAAATATTATATTTGTTTACCGTCAAATCACAATAAAATAGTAAGATAAGATAATTAAAATGATTAAAATATCATCTTATGTTCCATATCGAGCATTCGATTTACATCGGAACATTCACAACATGTTTCGGTTTA